AAGTCTTAAAGTTGCCAAGGTTGGACACCCCTGGTCTAAAGGCTGGTTGTTTTTGGTAATACATTTAATTTTTTCAATCTATTTGCCAAGGCAGAATGAGGAGAACCAATATTAAAGCACTGAAAGACTAACTTTCTATTTTCAGGAAGGATGGGAACGATCTTTTCACAGCTTTCCTAAACAGCATTTTCTGGAAGGCAGGAAGAAAAGACAATTTTAACTGAATTCAGAATATTTAAATTGGAGATGTTAACATTTTGGAAAAGGGAAAGTACCTGCATTTATTTGTTTATACTCTCTTCCTGTAAACTGTATGATTATCTAGATTTTGAAATACTGTACAGGTCTCAGCTTTCCTCTCAATGGTGAGTAGGGTTGGTGAAAGTTGTAATGCAACATTTGAATTAATTATATTTTTCATATTATTTGTGTTTATTATTGTGTATGTGAACCATTTTTCAAGACCCATTCCAACTATTATTGATCTCAACTTATTTCAGTTTTCAATTTTTTGCAACTACATTTCCAATTACCCGACTTGCTTTCCTTTCCTTAACCTCATAATGCCTGGAGGAAAAATATTTCTTCTTCTCCTCTCCTCCTCCTTCTTTTCTTCCTCTTCCTCCCATGGTTGAGAGTCCTGGCCAACTTATTAGATTTTGATCTTGTTTATTATGCTTTTATTTACAAAATGAATAATATGTGTGTTACCTAAAAATAGAGATAAAAATAATTCCATTTGGCTTTACTTCCTGTATCACAAATTAGGATATCACAGTATAGGATAAGACCTCCTATCTGATGACCTATTTAAATAGTCAAGGAGAAAAGGACAAAAAAATAGGTTCGTGTTTCCTGGCTCCAGCTTATGAAAAAAAAATTATGCCTTGAAATTGATTAGCATGGAGAAGAAAGAGGCAGGATAAATATGGACAATGCCAATTCCCTTTGATTAGTCCATTGATTATCCTATACTAGTAATCTTCAAATGGGTTGTTTTGCATTGTTTGTGCTCCATTATTCACTACTTAAATTTTGGGGGAAACCTAGGAATATTTCTGAACAGGTTTAGTCTGTTTTATGTATATACTTACCGAGAGAATTTCTATTTTCTCTTTTTACTCCAACTAAAACACTTAAATCATACTTGGGAGCACGTTTGGGATGAGGATGAGGATGATCCAGATTTAAGTCCATCATGAGTCATAAAAACTCACTGGCTGTCTTGGGTTCTGCTGTTTCTCCTAAAGCAATAAACCCCACATAATTGTTATTTGGGGGAAATTTTTGAAGAGGGCTATGTATGTTGCCTTTTGTTTGCAGAGGAAAAAAATGTGATATGAAACTAAAGAATAAATGAAAAGTACTCAATCTCAGAAGATTTGAGATCTTTTAGGCCATTTTCCCTAGCCTTGTGCTATCTTGAAATTAAATCTTTCATCATATTAGTCAGAGATGGTAGAAGCTAGCATCTTCTAAAAGCTCCATAAATCAAACTGCCTAGATATAAAAATACATCAAAAATACATCAAAAGCACCAAAGGTGCTTTTTTTTCGGGAGGCAACTGGACTTTCTTGTTTTTTCTTTGAAGACATTTCGCTTCTCATCCAAGAAGCTTCTTCAGCTCTTCCCGGATAGTGGGGAATGGAAGGTTCTTGTCAGAACTGAAGAAGCTTTTTGGATGAGAAGTGAAACGTCTTCAAAGAAAAAACAAGAAAGTCCAGTTGCCTCCTGGAAAAAAAGCACCTTTGGGACAACCATAACCTGGATTACTGAGAATCTCTATAGACTATACATTAAAATCTTTCTTGATTTGATTTGGTTGAGTTGGATTGGGTTGCTATTGCTTTTTAATAACTTATAGCAATAGCACTTAGACTTATATACCAATTCATAGTGTTTTACAGCCTTCTCTAAGCAGTTTACAGGGTCAGCATATTGCCCCCAACAATCTGGGTCCTAATTTTACCAATCTCAGAAGGATAGAAGGCTGAGTCAATCTTGAGCTGGTGAGACTTGAACTGCCAAATTTCTGGCAGTCAGCAATCAGCAGAATTAGCCTGCAATACTGCATTCTAACCAGTGCACATCATGGTTCTATATAATATTCTTGGGACAGCTTGGTTGAACCTAGATGCATTCTATATACTGGCATAAATTTAAAAACCATGTATGTATTAAATCTTGATGTAAAAATACTACTTATTTCAACATTAGTCTTTCGAATTCTTGGGAAAACATTGTGATGACTTTTGCTGCTATGCATGGATTAACTCAGAGTTCATAAGCTCATCTGGCTGTCATGCCCCTGATGCAGATTGACTCTGAGGGAGAGGAGGAACAGCTAACAGGGAGTGGAAGTGTGGCTCCGGAGGTTGTGGAGGAGGCTGGGGAAGGGCAGAGGCCAGCTGAGCAGTCAGAGGAGACCCAGGCCCATCCCTTATCCATCCTAGGGCATGCAGGGAGGAGAGGATAAGGGAGAGATGTGGTCTACTCAGGAGGAGAGGACCTTGATCCTCTTCATGGGCTGCAGCTGTGACAACTGAATAAGAGTATGGACCTGCGTATGGGCGAACGCTGTAAACAAAGCATGGAAATATCTCTAGTTTATGACTCCTCTATGAGTTTGGCGTCCTTCCCAGTGTATGTTATCTGTGGACGTCCTCCAGCCCTTATCTTGTCTGGTTTGTGTTGCTTTTTCCCTTCTTTTTGTAACTGTTGGTGTGGGAGATTTTTTGGCTTCCATCAAGAATATTCAGAGCTTGGAAGCAAAGTGAAGGAATAAAAGGGGCTTTACCTGTTTTCTGTGACTGTGTTTGTTTTGTATCCCACCCTGGGTCATCACATTTGTATTCTTTTTTTGCCAATGAACAAATTAGCAAAAGCAATAGTGGTGAATCAGAAAAGAAGCAAAATTAGAGAAAGAAAACATTGAGCAGTAGCACAAATAAAATCAAAGCTACCAAATTTCATACTCATGGGCTATGATAATAAGGCTTTGAAGTGAAAGCAGACTTCTATACTGTTTGAGATCCTCTCCCTCCCTCTTCTTTTTATCAATTATATTATTAATACTTTCTCAGGCATAATATTTCATAACTCTTTAGTCAACTGAGGTGTTCTTAGAAAAAGAGATTTATTACTTTATAATTTGTATTAATGTTTAATTCTGTACTTCGGAAGCTGAATGCTTGATTTTGCTGAAATGCAACTGTTTGCAAACCCAGCCAGAATTTTACATAATGAAAATACAACAAGTTACAATTTAGCAACTTAAAGAAATTCTTAGACCTCCCACAGAGTTACACATTATTCCTTAAGCATCCTTTGCATAATTGTTATATTCTCTTTAGCACCTTTTCAGATATATAACACATTCTACTCAAATTTCCCCTTAAAATGTGACAATGCAAAACTATAACCCTTTACTATATGATCGATCTCGCAGTATATTGTCACAGGATTTTTTTACATAAGTTTCCATTTGTACATAGCCCTGTTGCCATCTCCCGACATGAAGAACACAATAGATCCTCTCAGAAAAGGTGACCATCAAAAGGGGGGTGGGAGAGAATTTGACTTGGGAATCAATAAACTAAAGAATCAAAGATAGCACTGAATTTGGTGATTCAGTATTTATATGTATTGAAGAGAGATGATGGCCAAGAACTAATGAGGGACAGAACAGAAGACAGTTTCCAATTTCATACTCTGTCTATGATTACATACCACAGGAGAGAAAGTTTTTTCTTTTAGCTATTAGAAAAAAAAATCAACTCCACCCCCCCCCCCCCCCCGTGCCATTATTCCCGAAGCTACGCAGGCTACTGTGCTTACTGTTTACATAAGCAAAACTATGCAAATTGTATTGGTTGATTGTATTGGTTGATGGATTATGTACCATCAAGTCACCAACTTCTACTGATCATGTACATAGATTTTCTCCATGATGATGATACATATTGAATACATCTGGTCTTCATGTGATACTGACTACTGGAACTGAGAGCTATAGATAATGTGTTCTCTCTTATTGTAACCATTGGAAAAACATAGTTCATGGATTCTTTTAGATAGGGAGCTCCTAGCACTATCTAGCATTTCCTCACTAGTGACTTGTGTTATAGCATCTTCTATTCACATGCATTCATTCTGATGCCAACATGACAGTAATGGGCACAGACATTTATATTATTTATTACAATCAGTGGTTGGCTCTGTTGTGCTTTAAGTCACTATTAGAAAAAAAATGTACAAAATAGATTCTGACATAGTTCCATATTTTCACCCCAAAGAGTTTTTTTCTATGGAAAGAAAAGTGATGGAACAAGTAAGAGTGAAAAGTCTTCCACCAGAAATAACTTGTAAACAGCCCAGCAGGACATAATGTTAAATATGCTTGGACAAAACCACATGCGCAACCACTTTATCATGTATAAATATTGTAAGAATGCATTATAAACTAATCAGAACTTTACCTTATCTGCATGTGTGAGGGATAAAATCATTTCAATTGGTTTATTTATGTCATTTATATATTTATGTTGGTTTTGCATTTTGAAGTTTATAATGCTTTAAGTCTTCTTAAGAGAAAATATGTATTTACCTTACACAACACTAATCTGTTATATGGTACAGGAAATTTATGGTGCCCAATGGGATCCTCTCATATGAAACAGTCTTTCAGAAAAGAACTTGAACATTTGGTTCACAAAAAGATGAAGCCTTGTTTCTTTTATTAAGATACTTGCAAATGTAAATATGCTGCATCAACATCCACTAGATACACATAAAGAAGATATTTCACTTGCTTCTAAGCTGTCAATAATAGCATCTCTCAACAACCACTAATATCCAAAAGGGCTGACTATTTATACACAAATATATAAACAACTATTCCGGTCGGTCCCGCCAGCAAACTATCCAAGTTCACTTGAAAGAAGTGGAATAATGGAGAGACTATAACCCACCTTCTCATGCAGTTTTTATTTATTTCTACAGATCATCTCAAGAAGAATATCTCTAATGAACTGCAAATCGATCACAGTTGTTGTTCTATGTAGTAAATTCACTTCACCATTCACTGTTAGCAAAAGAGAAGGTTAACACTCACCTGCCATTCTTGGTAACAATCATCTCATTTGTAACTTCTCTGAACCTCTGCCACAGGGCAGAATCTTCCAAGATAACCTGGAGTTGTTTCTCAGTAGGGTCTCCTTTGTCTCTGCCAGCCAGGAGTTCATTTTCCACCACATTGAGCAGCCTGGAGATGGTGCAATCACTGTGTTTCTTACAGCTCAAATCAGTCATGGTGACTCTAATGTCAGAAACTTCTCAGGTTATTTTTAAAAAAAAATGAAAGAGGGAAGCCTTCACAATCCCCTCTGAACCTAAGCCCAAACTAATTAATTAGCCACAATGGAACAAAAGTGCTCACCTCAGCCTTTTGCCACAGACTTGTTCTTTCCTCCACTATGTCCCAACACGATGATGACACCTGCATGTTAAGGTTTTAACATGAACACACAACCATGTCCTAATTACCAACTGTCAGGTGGGAGGCAGTCTGATTAGGCAATTGGCTGCTTCTGAAGACGAATCTTCCATTCAATTTGTTAAGCTTTTATCTTTCTGAGGAAGGTCTAATTATTCTGCTCAAGAACTATATTTCCATTAATGAAAATGATTTAATGTCTCAAATGAAACAATGAATGGAAAGCAAATCTGTGCTGATTTGCAAAATCAAGCTGAAAAGGGAGATGCAAATGGTACTGAAAAGCACACTGTATGATATATAATATTAGCCTTTCTTGAGGCAAGTGTATTTCTCTGTGCTTCATTATATCATTGTCAAGAAAAAACATTTATGTTCGTCATCGAAATATATTTATGCACTGGAGAACAATTCATAGGAGCTTCCTATTTGCAAGCCAGATTCCCAAATTCTAGGGCAGCAATGACCAATTTATCTACTTTGAGAAATGTAAGGGATACTGTGGACAGTATTTGGTGTAAAGCATATAGGATAGTGCCATACTGTAGACCACAATACTGTTTTCTCTTGGTTAGCAGGAATTCAACTTGTTACTATGTTTTTTTTATTGATCTACACTGCAGTTTTCATTTATTTCTCACCTAAAATGATGAGAAATTAAAGTTTTTGCAAATTTAATATTTTACTTGTTCAGTATATACAGTACAGCTGCCACTCACCAAGAGATTCTGGATTGCTAACAGAGTTAAAGTTATTATCAGAAGAAAAATGCCATGTTGATGCCAAAAGAAAGTGCTCATAGACCACATGTGGCATTGAGATTCCAACCCCAAAATGAGGTGATGAAGAGAGGATATATATTCTAATGTTTCTTGTTCATGCTCTCATTTAAAATTGATAATTATTTACCATCTGCTAATAGGATATCTACCACTGAATATTGACCACTGAGGAATAACTGTTGATCATGGAATCCTTGGGGCTCTCTGAGTTTGATTGTTTTCCCACAGATATTTCATAACCTGACTGGGTAACATCATCATTGCTACAGGTAGTGAGAGTGGGATTTGCTCCTTTTTTATATACATATCATGCTTTGCCAGGTTGCTGGGGGTATGGTTTTCTTCATTCAAGAAGAAATCAAGGAACCACTTTTCTTCTTGGTCAAGGAGAATCCATACTTCCCAATGCAAGTGATTTCTTTATTATTTATTTAATATTTATTAAATTACTATGCTGTCCATCTCATTAATATTGTAATTCTGAATAAGCAGAGAGCAAATATCATCAAGCATTGATGATGTTACTTAATCAGATGATGAAACATCTGCAAGCAAACAACTACCTCAGAGAGCACCAAGGACTCTGTAGGATTGGCAAAGCTTGAGGGTAGGATTAAAGGAAGAATCAGCCCAGAATCATTATATACTCATAAGTGAGCTAAATCCAACTCTCTTGATTTCTATGGACCCCTATTTAACTCCAAGCAGGTACTAACTGTTGGTTGAGAAATTCCTGTGCATAAACTTTTCAGCAATAAATCAATTTAATTGGGCCTTCACATGTGAACCTGGGTCTTTGTACCTGACAGGCTACACAGTTTAACTCTGAGCTACATGGATTTCTTCTATTGAATATTTGTACAGAAGGGCATTAACTAAATATCCTGCTTCTGGCTGCTTGCTTTAGTAGCAAGAGGGTGAAATATATGACTCAAATCTAGGAGGTGAATATGATAAACCACTTCAAGTGAACAGGTGTTAAGGAAAATGAATTAACAAGTCTGTTGGATTAAGAACCTTTGGTTCATAGACTGAATGCTGTTTGCAAAGTATTTTTATCTACCTGATATAAACTGTTTCTGTTCCTAAAACTTTTCCCAATGCTCACAAGGGTGTTGTATGGAAATCATGCTCTCCATGTAAAAGAAATATTTTTGCTGATAAATAAGTAGCAGCACCTAACACTGCTCTGATCATTATACCACAAACTAAACCAAAAATACTAAGAGAGCCTACCAAATATTATTTTAATGACAGTTAAATGAAATAAATATTATTTTTAGGACAACTGTTCCTGAGGAGGCATCAAATATCATTACTAATAACTGGATTCACTGCTTCTTCATAAATTTTATGGAGGGTAGAATCAGTATTTACTGACCCTATCTAGAAATAAATTTTCCTGAGAATAGCAATAAACTACACTCACAATAGTGATGCTATAATGATGTGGGTGTCTTGGAACAATGTGGAAATGGTGTTCTATAGTCTTCTTTCAAGTTGATTCCTCAGCTTCCTTATCAAGCTTACTGACCTCATGTTCCTGATGGTTTTACCATCGAAGTACTAATCAGTTGTAATCCTGCTAAGCTTCCTGAAATCAGCAAGGTTGGTAAGATGCTGCCACTGGTTGGACTCTTGAAACACCTGTCATTATTAATGGGATGTCTTAAATAAGGCTTATCAGCATGATACCTAATAGCTTTTAATTTCTAGAGCTCAGTGCATAAAGTATTTCTTAACAACAAAATCAAAAGTAAATGTTTGGCAAGACTCAAACTTTCCAGACTTTATGCAAATAAGTGGATTGATGGTTCATCCAGACTGTCAGCTTCTCTGAAATTTATAAAAATAGAATTTTCTATATGCTGTTAACATTTACCTATACATTATTGCTATACATAAGCCCTGCTGTCTGTGAACCTCGGTCACCAGCAGAAGTTAATTGGCCCTTTTCTTGAATATGTCTGCTAAAGTAATGAAAAGACTAATCTTTTCTAAATCACTTCAAGTCCAATAATTACTGATGGTGTCAAACCTTGATTAAAGAACGCCAGAAAACCTGCTGTCTTTTTGTCCTTTGTAATTATGACTCGGCATTGGATGTCATGGCTAGATAGATATTTAGTTTCCTAGCTTCTGGAACTGAATGTTCAGGGAAGAGAATCCATTCAAATGGGACAGGAGATGGAAAGAATGAGTTAGCTTCTCATGGATTTCATTTGACCAAGAATTTTCTATTATATTATTATAGTCAGTAAAAAAAGTCTGTAGGAAAGTACAGCTATTAAATATCAGTTAAAGAGGAAACATATTTTATTTTTTTCCCTGCTATATGTAAAGAGCTGTTAGCTTCAAAGAATTTCAGATTGATTTGTTGATTATTTCTTGGTTCTGCTGAAGCAACCAAAACACATTTCTGAAAATGTTTCTCTGCCTCAGTCTACTTATAAAACTCCATTTATCAAGTTTGTGCTCTATATGAATGACAAATAGTTGAACAAATCTAATAGGGGGAAATCCTCTGCAAATTAGATCTCTGCTTAGATCTTATTAGACACATAATTTGGATGACTAAGGCAGGATATATCCTACCACCCTTGTTGTATTCTCATCCTATTATAATAAGTTACAGAGCATTGGTGCAACCAGATAGGTAAGCAGGGTAAACTTTGTTAGCACTTGGCAAAACAGCAGAGAAAATAAATGGTCCAGAGCTTATTAGAAAATTGAAAAGCATCCCAGAATAAGGCAGTGGCAAATCACTTCTGTATGGTTGGAAAAAATAAATTACATGGCCAATGCCATGTTTATAAAAGTGCCAGAAGTTGGGTTTGATTCTCCAGCATTTCATATAAACCTCAATCACTTCTGACTAGGATAAACTAAATATCAAGATGGAATTTTTGTAGAGACCTATTTGTTCAGAGCATGTTTGTCTTCCTGTCAATCTTTCCAATTTTTTGCCAAGGTTTTTTAGGAGTGGTTTGCCATTGCCTCCTTCCTAGGACTGATAGAAAGGGACTAGCCCAAGGTCATTCAGTTGGTTTCATGTTGAAGGCAGGGCTAGAACTCATATATTTCCAGTTTCTACTCTGATGCCTTAACCATTACACCAAATTGGCTCTCACATGGAGTAACAATTATGGAGAAGCAGAACTGACCTTCAGGTTAAATGTTTCAGAAAATTTTTAAAAGCCACACATTTTAAGTATAGGTCACTGGTTTTTAAAGATAGTTACTGGTAGTTAACTGGTAGTTAACACATATCTGTAATAACCTTTAACTAAGTATTATGGAGAAATCAAATTACTTTCATAGAAATATTAGGCTTTACTGACAAATTTGCATTATAACCAACAACTTTTGTCCAATTATTTTCAGATTAATTTTATATAGTGACAACTTAGATTTCTGTTGAATTTACCATTTAATTCCTTCATCTATACCTATTTTATCTGTGATTATCAGTAAAGTTAATTTGAAATATTGTTAAACTATGAAGTTTTATTTTAAAAAGGTTTTATCTAAAGCTTTAACACCATATCAATATCTATTATACTTGTATATCATTTTATAAAATATAATCAAAATTCAGACAGCTTTAATGGATCTATTTTCCCACATAATGCTCTTTATGAACCAGGAATTTTCAGATAATTTCAACTATTCACATTCCAACTCATAAACATGAAAACCAACATGATTATTACAGTATATTGACAACAGCAATGTGTTCTCAGAAGATATGGCTTCAGGAGCAAGTTTCACAATTCTGAACATTTCAACAAAGTTTACTTTAGGAAAAACACAATACAGACAGACATGCATTGTGAAAACACTTTTATTACAGGAGATATGGTACTGAAAAAGAGTTTCTTTCAAACGATATTTTCTTCTAAGGCAAACAAAATTTCCAGCACAGAGAAAAGCCAGTATACAAAAATGGAATGTTTTTTCAAACAAAAAAATCAATAGCTTATTACAAGGGTTCTGGAAAACATTCAACAGAGATGTGTTTTGCCTGCTGTTACACCAAAGAAGAACCTTTGGCTTATTAAAGTAGCTGTATCTTTAACAAGCCTTGTATGACTGCTTCAAGCCAAAGAGGTTTTTAAGTTCTGTCTTTAAGCTTTGCGCAAACTGATTTAATAGTTTGAAGAGGGGTGATTCATTTGGACTCTTCTGCACTCTACTCTTCAAAAGTAAGTAACTCTTTTGAACACTTTGCACAACTCTATTATGGAAACCCTGCTAACATGACTGGGTCAGAATATAGAGGTAGGCACTTCATTTTCCATGCCCCCTCAAATAAATAGATATCTCAAACATATCACGTTACTTATATTTAGCTGTGGAAATACTTTAGAGGATGAAACTAGCACACTTGCAATTAAGGCAGAGTTTATCATAAGAGTACAGTAATAATGCACAAAGATAAGTGATTTAACATATTGACAATATGAGGGAGTGGGAAAAATTACAAGAAAAGCTATCTTATTCTACATTTACTAGAACATAAAGGCTGAACATTGGCTTAGAGAGAAAGTTATTAAAAGGCCATATAACCCTATCAAGACAATAATGCCTTTGTTCCCTTAATGCATATTTAGCAGGGAAAAGCAATAACTAAGAGATGACATTCTTACAAGACATTCAATATCTTTAATAATATTATATTAAACATATATAAAAATATACCTAACAAGAATTCAGCGAGGTCAAAAATTGGAAGTTATTCAAATTGAATTTAAGAATTCAATTAGTGTTGGATATGTACTGTAACAATTCAAGTGTCAGACAAGATAGAGCATTTATTTGTCTTAAAATGCAAGATCTTACTATTGGCCTAGCCCTAGCAACTGGAATTATCTTAGTCTCTCCCCAAAATAAGCCTCCTACTTCAGACAGACATATTGTACAATTGTTTCTTCAAAGATTTAACGGCTGGACAAAATATACTTAAAGGGCTTTGTTTCTCATTTGCTACCCTTCTTAAGCACTGTTTCCCAGTCTGACAGCTCCATGAGGACTTCATGCTGATTAGGAAGTTAGGGGATTTTGTTTCAGCTTGGAGACCCTCAAGTTGGAGAAGGCAAATACGAAGCACCAAGATGTAAAGGCAGGAACTGATAGCTGTATGTCTCAGTGGGATTCAATCCAGTAGTTTTCATAAAGTAATAAATTTCTTATTGTGGATGTTTGCATTTTCCAGCATTTCTATTACTATCCTTCTGTTATTCTAACAGAAATAGACATAAGATGCATTGCACATCAGTAACAGCAATACATGTTACGTTAAATTAAATTATCTGAAGACATTAAGAAGGAAAATGGAAAGATGATCTCAGCTGGTATTCAAAAAAAAGAATACACAGTTAGAAAATCCTGGGAGGGGGGAATCAAGGAAGCTTCATCAAATCCTTTAAGTTTATACAATAATTTATCACATTATATTCAAGTGACCCTAAAAATCAAGACAGAATATATGAAACTTAGTGTTAAATTGTTCACCACAATTTACCACCGAAACAAGAGACTTGTATCTTTTAGAATGTTGTCCCCAATCTTCCTCCTTGTGTCTCAACAGTCTACCACTATCACTATCACTAAGAATTACACATTGCTTCACTATAAAAACCTATTAAATATATATACTTAAATATCTATAGAATATATTCAAAATTTATAATGTACAGATGTGGATAGTTTTACATTGTAAGCAGTGATAATATTAAATGCTCCCACAAAAAGCAGATGTAGGAAAGAATCATATCTGTTCATTTCTTAAAACTGAGGTCTAGTAGACCTAATTTTAATACATTACTTAGAATTGTCTGACCTGTATTCATTTACAATCAGTGTATAAAATTTTGTGCTTCATTCATAATAAAAGTTATAATAAAAGTGAATTATTTCACAAATATCAAGCTTACAAATCTACAAATATGCTTGCTTGGTAAGCAGCACAATACAATTATAGAGCTATACTAAACTAGTTAGACCGATACAAACATTGATTCCATTGTGTACAAAAACAGAATTAATGTGGCTACTTCTCACTTGGAAATTTCTGTGTTCTGATAACCTGTATTAGTCTCTTTCAAAAGACGAAAGAGAGCAGAACAGGAAGTATAATGAACATAGATAGTAAATTGTTTTTCTTTGGGCAATGAATGATTACAGTTCATAAATTCCACCAAAGGCAAAATTATTGGATTTTTTTAAAAAATAAGCATAGCACAGCATCAAGATAACCAACTGCAAAAACTATCAAATAATTCTTAACATGTACACATACTATTTTTACTTCTTATGAGAAATAACCAAGGAATACGCCAATGCAAAAAGGAGAAAAAAAGGAATGCAGCAAAAATTGTCAATATGCCAGCATCTGGCAGTTTAAATAATCCCAGGATACTATCCTGTTGGGAAATCAAAGCATGAAACATAATATGATTATACAGAGTGATCATACAACCAAATATTGGGGGGGAAAGATAGGATGAGAAAAGAAGACACTCAAAATCTGAGATGTTTGTCTCCCCAATTAGAATATGGTACACTTTTGAGTTATACAAGTCATATCTGTTCAACATGAAAAGACAAATGAGAGAGGCACTGCAATGGCATCAAGGAGAGATGAAAATTTTTCAGAATATAAGTTAGCAATAAAGGCAGAAGTCTAGATTTTATTTCGTTTCAAGGCCACATGTGTAAAAGTCCATAAATAGAAATGCTTGGAGAAATCAATTTATCTATTTTTATAACTCCCACTTTTCTCCAGATTATCTTGCTTATCAGACACTAATTCAAGTACTTTAAAGAAAGGAATTGTACTTGCTGTCCTATTAGACAACAAATTCCAGGAACTTCTCTAATAATAATTTGCAATCAGATTTTTAAAAACTAAAGAGACATTTAGAAATGGTATTTTGATAGCAAGTAACTAAAAGAATGTTATGGAGAAAAATTCACTACATGCTTAGCTAATGTTTTCCAAAATGCAATCTGTCCTAAGGACTTTTTGATAGAAACCTCTTGATAAAAAGTAGTAAAATGTCATCCCATCCCTTTCACAATTACTAGAATATCCATTTTATTTCCAAAATAAAATCATCTGAAGAAAAGTTATTTGTGGCACACATTAAGTATTAGATTTGCAAGTGAAGACGAGACATAATTTATCTTGAAATTTTCATAAAATGTGTTATCTTCAAAAGAATATATGGTATCTTTGTCTTCTGATTAATGTGTTAACACGTTAATGCTTTGTTCTTAGGCAGGTGTGTGCTGTTTCAAGAATCATTTGGTTGTGCAGGTGTTGTAGTCCTCAGTGTAAGAAGATAGCCACCTTAACCTGCAAAAAGCAGCCAAACCAAAAGTTTTATAAGTAATTTCTCCATTAATTATCTGATTTATCTTATGAAAGGCAGAAAACTGTTTTTCTAGAAAGTATATTGCAGTTTCAAATAGGAATACACTGTTGGTAATAGAATATATTAACTGCAGTAACAGAAGGCATTCTTTTTGGGAATAAACAGAAATGCATATCCCTTTTTTAAAAAAATTGCATCCCTCCAACAATCTGTTCTTTAGTTTGTAATTCAGCTGCTGATACATGCCCTTGGACTAGAACTCACATGTAGAAAAGCTTTTGAAAATTAAAAAAAAGTTTACTAACTAGAAAAATCATAGCTTTTACTGCCCATCATAACATGAGTGTAAAATATCACATCTGCAATTGCTTATTCTATAACGTTAAATGAAGAAGATGGAAACATTTAAATAGGTATTATAACATCCTTAAAACTGCCTTATTTTATGTAGAGGTTAATTAAAGGGATCTATACCTTAATAAACCTGTTTTACTTTAGGACATTATTTTAATCCTCACAGTGAATTGGGGACTATTCCCCCCTCCCTTTTTTCCCTTTTTTAAAAAAGACATCCTAAACTCCATGTTCTCTGGAGTGGAGAAAATATATCTAACAAACAAAATGGAGGATGCACCCTTTTAATTCGTCTCTTTTGAACGTTACCAGAGCCAAATCCAGCTCCTCTCTTTGCCCAATTCCATCAAAGCCAAATTGACCCTCCCTTGCCCCAAAGCTCCCACCTAAAACAGAGGGCAGAAGCGTCCTTGACAGCTAACAGTACAGCCCAAGGAGTCCTAATAAAGGAACTATAACATAGTAAGAAATTGAAACACCCCAACCTTCCATCTGCTTATTAGCTGATGACCTCAACATTCCATCTCCTTTACAATGGACTTCCCCAACTCTGATGCCCTCCTGAAAGGGCCACTTTGCCTAATAGAACTTATCCAAGGAACACTGATGAAGACTTGCCCATCTTCCCCAACTGGGACAGCAAATCAGATCTGTTAAGTCTGGAAGGATGGGTCCAAGAATGGAGACGAGACTCAGAAAGTAACTACAGCTCTTTATTAGTGACTTCCGATCGGAGCGAAGTATCCTAGCCGCAGCAGCCCCTTTTATAGAGCTGGCTGCGGCTAAACGGCCAATGACAGTGATTTGAGCTTGCCGCGCTTGGTTTGCCCAATTGC